ACCTACCCAACCACCAACCCAATCACCTACCCACCTACCCAACCACCTACCCAACCACCTACTCAACCACCTACCCAACTACCTACCCAACCACCTACCCAACCACCAACCCAATCACCTACCCACCTACCCAACCACCTACCCAACCACCAACCCAACCACCTACCCAACCACCAACCCAATCACCTACCCACCTACCCAACCACCTACCCAACCATCAACCCAATCACCTACCCACCTACCCAACCACCTACCCAACCACCAACCCAATCACCTACCCAACCACCTACCCAACCACCAACCCAATCACCTACCCACCTACCCAACCACCTACCCAACCACCAACCCAACCACCTACCCAACCACCAACCCAATCACCTACCCACCTACCCTACCACCTACCCAACCACCAACCCAACCACCTACCCAACCACCAACCCAACCACCTACCCAACCACCTACCCAACCACCAACCCAATCACCTACCCAACCACCTACCCAACCACCAACCCAATCACCTACCCACCTACCCAACCACCTACCCAACCACCAACCCAACCACCTACCCAACCACCAACCCAATCACCTACCCACCTACCCAACCACCTACCCAACCACCAACCCAACCACCTACCCACCTACCCAACCACCTACCCACCAACCCAATCACCTATCCAACCACCTACCCAACCACCTACCCACCTACCCAACCACCTACCCACCAACCCAATCACCTATCCAACCACCTACCCAACAAACTACCCCACCAATCACCTACCCACCTACCCAACCACCTACCCAACAACCTACCCCACCAATCACCTACCCACCTACCCAACCACTTACCCAACAAACTACCCCACCAATCACCTACCTCATCCACCCACCATCCACCATCCAACAACCCCCACCTCCAACCCAATAACATGCTATTCACACCAGCCATCAGTTATAAAACCATTAGCCATCCTCAACAGCCACATTCACACTTAACAGACATAAATGCCAGCTTGTTTATTGCTATTGCCATAACATGGCTTACCTGGCCAGTTTATCCATACCCAATTATGCCATATAATTCTATAACCATGTTGTTTACCTGCATAATTTTTTGTCTCAGTCAGCTAGTTATGTCGGTCAAGGATGGAAATTTGTCCTGTAAGTCAATGGCTGATCTTTTATTAAACAAAATCCCCCCCCCCCTATCATTTTATTATTTTCACCAGAAAAATAGATTGTTTTGGCAAGTACATTTTGTACGATTTTTTGAATAGCTTTCACCCCCCCCCCCCCCTTCAGTGTGGACCGCACCCCCACATCCCACACTGTGACGCCACCTATCTATCTGTGGCCAAGTTAAATCAAACGGGGTAGAAAACAAACAACAAAAATACAAGTGGGGGGTATATGTGTGTGTGTGTGTGTGAGGGGGAGGGGGTGAGTATGCCTCCCCTAATCACGTCCATCGCCCCCCCCCCCCCCCCCCCCCCCGCTTTTTTCTGACAAAATTGAAAAATATTATAATTTATATAGAAAATATATACTTTAACTTGTGTCCACCCCCCCCATTGAGTTTTTAGTGTCCCCCTACCCCCTCTTGAAGTATGAATTGCCCTCCCGGAGACAAATGTCTGAAAGAAACCCTTGTTGTCTGTACCATGGCTACTCTAGTGGTCAGTACTAGTCCGACTGTCAGACCACTTGACACACTTGACTTAATCCTCTTTGCTCCTTATGGAACATAGGGCCTCCACCATTTCCTTCCATTTACTGTCAGACCACAGTTGTTACATATTCCTGAAATGACAATCATAACAAGCGTTGGCGTGAGGAGAACGACTCAGCCGAAACGAAACAAACCATTATTCTTTGTGGTTGTCTAATGTCCTATTCTTAGCCACTGCTCCACAAATCTTCGTGCCGAACCCACGTTTCTATTGCTACTACAACTAGATAAGATACACATTAATTAATTACAAAAAAAAAAACAACACAATAAAAACCTAAAAAAAACCCACAACAAATAAACTGAAGTACTTTCTTAAGTACGAGTTTTTAATGATATTGTTCTTTTTTTTTACGTTTCTTGTTAATTTATTCATCCTACGTAAGTAGTTTCTTAATTGCTCGGCTTTTTATGGTAGTTTTTTTAAGAGGTATAATCATCGGATGGCGAGATTTTAAGTGGATGAGTCTTGTTGTAAGATCCTCGCTTTTCTCCGATATGTCACATGGTCACGTAATTATGTGGTAAGCTTGGCATTTTAGGTGATCTTCACGGCCTGTCATATGGTCACTACGGCCTGTCACGTGGTCAGCGTGACATTTTACGTGATCTTCATGACCTGTCACGTGGTCCACGCAGCCTGTCAGCCTCCAGCCTATCACGTGGTCAAGGCAACCTATCACGTGGTCTCCAGCCTGTCACGTGGTGTCTCCGAGCAAGCGTGAGCCACTCCTGCCTTCTCAAGAGCTCGTCTAGACGGGAGCCTGCTGTAGTATTGGCGGTGCGGTGTTTGTCTTGTGGGTTTTACCCAGCTCTTGTGCCGTGGTGGTGACCATCTTCTGTTGGTAGATGACGTGGTGGGAAAATAGGGATTGGTGGTGTAGGCTTGGAGAGTTCTTTGTGGGGGTTGATGGATGGTGATGATGGTGGTGGAGGGAAGTCAATGGGTGTCATGGATAATATATATAAATTATATATATATATATATATATATATATATATATATATATATATAATATATATATATATATATGTGTGTGTATGAACATTTTATTTTAGAAATTACCACTTCTATGTTCTAATTTCCTTAGTTTCTTATTTTCTGTGAGGGTACCAAGGGAGATAATGCACTAATTTAAAAAAAAATGATAATGAAGTCGGTTGTCTTCCTTAGAGCTAAAAGCAGATGTAGCTTAGGGTTAAGATTAGTATAAGGGTCAGGCTAATTAAGGTCCATGGTTAGTGTTTGGGTTTGGCAAATTTTCGGGTTAGGGTTAGAGTTAGGGCTAGTCAATAGTCGGGGTTAGGGTTAGTGATAGTGTCAGCGCTAGGATTAGGTCATAACATTTTTTCGGGGGAGGGGGGGGGGGGGGACACTGGTAGAAGTATATGTTTTCTATATAAATTCCATTTCGTTTGGGGGGGGGGGGGGGGCGGTAGACCCCGAATAGATTCCTGGAAGAAACTCTGGTCTTAAGATCAGAGTTCTAATGGCGGTATTAAATCTAACACGATCTTCTGGTGTACTTAAAATTGACCAATCAATGGGACATGAAATGATATCCGGAAACGACAATTTACTAGAGCTGTCCTCACGTCCAACGTTTTACAATGTTCGTCTTTAACAAACTTGTCAGCATGAATCGCTAGTTCAAAAGCTCGTGTTCGGAGGGCAGGATATAACTCATGGGGCTGAGTTCAACAGGCCTAGCTCTAAGCTGACTGAGCTTAAGTATTAGTCGACACAGGCCTTAACGGACGGAGTTAAATTCTTCAGGTCTAGCTAAGTTCAACAGGACAGCTCTTAGCTGACTGAGCTAAGGTCGGTAGCCACAGCTCTTAGCTGACTGAGCTAAGTTCAGCAAGACAGCTCTTAGCTGACTGAGCTAAGTTCAGCAAGACAGCTCTTAGCTGACTGAGCTAAGTTCAGCAGAACAGCTCTTAGCTGACTGAGCTGTTCGGTAGACACAACTCTTAGCTGACTGAGCTAAGTTTGATAGACATAGCTCTTAGCTGACTGAGCTAAGTTCGGTAGACACAGCTCTTAGCTGGTTGGACGAGAGAGCTTTGGGAAAATTAAGCTCTTATTTTCAAATGTTACATTATTGCCCATATTACAATTTTCACCAAACCCCCCCAAAAAAAAATCATAAAAATTTAATAATGTTTTTTTTTACCAAATCACGTTTGCACTAAGTCATTCATTTAACGCACTTAAAAATAAATCAAAACTCAACAACAAAACAAAACAATGAAATAACAATTAAACTAGTGTATAAAGTTTATTTTTTAAACCATTTTTGTACAGCAACAATAATAAATATATCACAATAGATTTGTCAAAATTTGTCAATTTTTATAGCAATCAAATATAGGTTAATTAAACAAAGTAATTATTAGGCAATAATTTCATTATTACCAATTAGTAATTATATATATCTACAGGCTATTTATAGTAACAGTCTCTGTTTAGGGTTAGCGTAAAATCAACAGCAGGTGTTAGCAGGAATGTAGGTCTTAAACATGGCTACATGCATGGGTACACAGGAGTACAAACATGTCTACAAACAGAGCTACAAACAATCTACTAACAAAGCTACAAACATGTATACAAACAGAGTTACAAACATATATACAAACAGAGCAAAAAGAAAATCTACAAACATGTATACAGAGCTACAAACAATTCATTCTACAAACAAATTTACATACACGTCTACAAACAATTCTACAAACAAATCTACAAACAAATCCAAAAGCAAGCATGGGTACCAAATAATTTCTGTAAAAAGATTCCTCTTTTTGAAGTACACAAATACATCTGCAATCATAATATGCAAACATATTCTACAAACATATATACAAACCTATAAACTAAGCTACAGATATTTGCTATAATATTCTACGTAGAGAAGTATACAATGAAATCAACAAAGAGTTTCACAAATATACGCAAACAAACAAATCCACAAACATAAGTACACAAACAAAATCTACAAACATTGGTACATAAACAAATCTAGATACAAAAATGTTTGTACAAACACATACAAATCTTCAAATATAAAAACACAAATAAATCTACAAGCATATGGTACAAATATGTTATACAATTTTAGGTACGCAAACTAACCTATAAACATATTATACAACTGAAGGTACACAAACTAACCTATTAACCCACAAACAATTGTTATACACAAATGTAGGTTTTATAGAATACATAGGTATGTATGTGAAAGGAATTAATAACAATGTCCACATACATGCCTACATACACACCACATAGATATATTCACATAGTTATGTTCACAGACTTAAGCAAAGGAGACTGACTGTAAACATAAACTTTATTTATAAACATGTGACTTTAATTCAGGTAGAGCAGTCATCTTTAAAAAATGAGGTAAACAAATAACTCTAAACCTAAAAAAGGATACAATTTTTAATCGTCGGTAACGAAACATTTTTAAAATGTAACAAATGTAACATACTAAACACATCTTTAGCTGTAGGCTAGTAAAAATTTGTAATCGTTTGAATACATTTAACTTTGAAGTAAAAAAATATACATACAATTCTCCTCATACATAATACACAAAGACAAACATTTTTACATACATATTACATTTATATTTATGCGTATATATTTACAAAAGTTTGGAATTACAGTAAGGGGACATAACTAGTAGATATTACACCTTCGCGGTTTGCATAGTTGTCTGCCCACTCGAAGAGACAAAATATTATTAATGGTTACTTTCATTAATATTGAAGGCGTGTGATAAAAGAGTCTCCTATCGAAAATCTTGAATTGTCAACAGTTAGATTAGATATATATTATGTCTGTCGTAAATGATGTTTACTTTCTCGTAGTTACACGATACAGTAGCCACATGAGTTGTTGATAAGACTTGATTCTTGATGTGTACCAGTTCTTGTCGTTTTTTTTGAGGTCCTTGAGGTTTTGTGTGGCTTAAGTAGTGGCAGGTGATGGTCACTCACAGGTGAGTCATGGTGATGTTGACCTCTTGGGGTCGATCATAGTTTAGTCATGATGATGTTGACATTTAGTGGCCAATCACAGTGCAGTCTCGATGACCTTGAAGGGTCAATCACAGTTCAGCCTCGATGATGACCTTGAGGGGTCAATCACAGTTGAGTGTCGATGATCTTAACCTTTAGGATCAGTCACAATTACGTATAGATGATTTTGATTTTAAGGGGCCAATCATAGTTCTGTCTCGGTGACCTTGAGGGGTCAATCATAGTTCTGTCTCGATGACCTTGACATTGAGCGGGTCAATCATAGTTCAGTCTCGATGATGTTGACCTTGAGGGGTCAATCACAGCTCTGTCTCGATGATGTTGACCTTGAGCTGGTCAAGGATGAGTGAGGGGGTGGGGGGCACGTCACTCAGCCAACAGGACTTCATCAGCTCCAGGATCTGTGGCCAGAGACAAAAGGGATCGAATGAGCTTAGTGGTATTGGTTAAATAGGTTACTGGGTCAATGGGTTAGTGGGTCAATGGGTTAATGGGTCAGAGGTACCATTGGCCCATGGGTCACTCGTAGAGTTTCTTTCAGACATATTTCTTCGGGGAAAGGGGACTTAAATTTACGGACACTGGTAAAAGAATTTATTTTCTTTTTAAATTTAAAATTCTTAAAGTTTAGTTCGGGAGAGGGGTGGTGGTGGTGTGTGTGTGTGAATGGGGGGAGGGGGGTTTATTGGGGCGGTAGATTTAACTCCCCGAAAAGATGCCTGAAAGAAACACTGGTCACTCGTGTGCTAGTCATGAGGTCAAAATATAAACTCGTTTTATTGGTAAACACTACACTGGCTCTATAGATCAGTAGTGCACTGGGTCCCTTATGTCTGAATACAATATCGGGCGTTGTTTCAATAGGGAACTACGTCGATGTGTGATGTGTACAATAGGGCATCTGGGTTAAGAGTAACATTTGTCTCAATTCCAATAGGTCACTTTAATGGTTATATCAGTAGCCATATACTACACATATTTCTACTTTGTACAAATTAAATCTCGTACATAATCTATCCAACCCTACTATCAAATAGGCAATGCAACAAATCTTATGTACAACGATCGTGGCGACCGTATAACCAACCCTACAATGTACAAATTAAGATCTTGTAGACGATGCTGCCGTAATTTATTAAACGAAATAACAACCCCAAATCTAATAGATCGAATAGCCAACCCTACCTGGTTGCCAGTAGAACTGATGATGCCCGTATTCTCCAACCGGGTTGCCAGCTTTTCAAACGTCTGCCCGTTAGCCGGAAGTAGGTCACTCATCCTCACCAGCCCCACCCTCGAGCTGATGCTATGACAGTACCGGATGTGTCTTCCGTCCATCCCGGAAAGCAATCCGGCAATATCCGCCGGCACGGTATCGTCCGGTTCGTGACCCGGCAGCGCCGCAACCTCCCGGATGGCAGATTCGTCCAGGTTTTGCGAGCCTCGGAGTCCAAAGTTCGAAGCCATGTTGTCGGGGGGTCCTTGGTGGTTGAAGATCCGGTCAATCATCAGCTCGTTGGGTTGGGTGGGTTTGACCTCCGTGGACGAGCCGTGTCGCGAGAGCACCGCCTGCAAGGCTTTGAGGGAGAGTTCTGAGTCCGGACGGTTGAGGAAGGCGCGGGTCTCATCCGGGTATCTCCCCGTTTCATCGGGTATCTCCTTCATGATGTCCTCTAACGACGGGATAGGGGTCAGCTGGTTGTACCTTTCATCGTCGTCGTCGTCGTCTTCGCTGGGGTGTCCCGAGGAGGGGGATCCCGAGTTGTTGACCCACGACCCCGGGGGGAGAAGTTTCTGGCTCTCAGAGCCCGTGTTAGCCTGTTGTCGAATACTATGGTTAGTTGTGAGGGCGCCGTCTTTAGAAGCTACGTCGATTATGGAATTGTTTTTGAGACTGGTGATAGTACCGTTATCTTTAGGGGTGTCTGTGTCGCCGTGAATGACAGAAACCCGAAGCGGAACTCCTTTTTTTAAAAGTTCTCTATATTTTCGTGAAGCGGCGCTACTCGTCTCACTGGAGCTACTCGGGTAATGTCCCCTTGTGTGGGAAATTTTTCGATGGTTTCGTTTCGGGGAGTAGAGGATTCTTCCGGGGAAGGCAGTAGAGTTTCCGGTCTTCGCCCGGTGGGTGTGGCAGGGGTACTGCTCGTCGGGGGCGAGTACACACCCACCTGTGTCTTGGTGCTCACGTTTTCTAGGCAGTTTCCTCCGGTGCATGTTGGCGTCGTAGGACGAAAAAGAATTACTGTTGCTCCAGCTTTCGGAGTCCTGACTTCCGGTCCAGCTGGAACCGTTGTTGAAGCGTTGCGCGCTGCCCAGGCAGTTGGAGCAGGCGCAGCTACAGGTGCCTTGAGAGAACGCCTCGGACGGGACGGAAGAGGAACCGTCTTCCGCGACTTGCAAGGCGGCGGCCGCGCAGAGGCAGGATTCCTCGCTGGAGACGGAGGCCGTGTCGAACCCGCTGTCGACGAGTTTGACCCCCGGGGGAAGATCTTCCTTCTCCGCGGAGATGTTGCTGTGTATGATCTCGTTCATGTCGGATTCGATTTTCTCCACGTTGGTTTGACTGCGGGAGTAACTGCTGGTTCGCGCTGAGGATTCCGTCTCGGTGGAGGCAGGATCCACCGTGGTGGAGGACTCGTCCCCGGCTCGTGGGGAGCTGTGGGGGTCCGTATCGCAGCTGCTGAAGCTGGAGAACTTGCCGAGGGTTTTCGCGAAGGTAGACTCAAAAGGCGGGACAGAGGGGGGTGGCGGCGCGGGTCGGGTTTTGACGGATTGTTTTTTACTGGATTGAAGTGTCGACCTACCATCTTGTAAATTTACAGTTTTTTGCACGCTACCTAAACCCGAAGTCTCCGTATACTGTAAAACTTGCTGCGGTATTTTACCACTAATATTCTCATTCTCAAACACTAAACCCTGATTGTTTGTAAACTTTTGACCGGTTTCTTCACTTTTTACACCCACACCTTGCCGTTTTGAATATTTGAGCTCGACGTCTTTCCCAGTCAGATTACTGATCGCCAAGCGGTTTGGAAGAGTTTGAAAAGCGGAAGAGCTTTGTCCTTTCAGCGCTTTCTTTAGCGCCGTGCGAGCTCTGGTGCGCTTGATGGATGACCTGGCATTCCAGGCATTTCCCAAGCTCACTGGTGCTCTTTGCATGCGATGCCCAATAGAGGAGGTTGAGTTAGTCGGAGAAGGCGAAAACGCTTGGACGTCGTTAGGGTTACCGTTGTTTATTACCTGGTTAGGAAGGTACACATTTGTTTGAGGTATGTTCGTCACTGGGCCGGGAATTGAAACGTATCCGGTTTCTGGTGGTTTGTTTTTCTTCGGGAATATGACGCCGGCGGGTAAGTCATTGACGCCGAGCTCGCCTCGCCTGACTCTTTCGTCGTAGCTCTCCAAGAGCATCTCCACTCTGGCGTCTTGTTTAGCCTTGAGCAGTTCGTTCAGAAGCTGCTCGCTTCTCTTGGCTTTTTCCAACACGTCAAACGCCATCCCAGGCAGGACTTCGACGATGCCGTTGTCGACTACACCCATGGAGGGTGTTTTATGAGGGTGCCCGGGCTCGGAGCGGGGACTGACCCGGTGCTCTGACTGCACGGGGGTGCTGCCGCCGCCGCTGCCGTACCCCGAGCTGGAAGCGCCGCTGGATTTTTTCAGCTTGTACGCGGCGGGGATGAAAATTTCTCGCCCGTCCTGAGTTTTCGACGTGACGTAGCCGCCATGTTTATAATTTCCGGCTCTAGTGAGGGTGTTTCGCTTGTTGTTGGCCTCGATCTCTTCCTCTATCAAATCCAGCTCCTCTTTAGAATCGATTGCCGGGCGAAAAGCCGAGCTACTGGACGCGGCGATGCTTCTGGCCTCTCTAACAAAGGTAATCCCTGGCTTACCTGTCACGTGATAACCTCTGTTCTCCTCCCTACCCGTCTTGTCCTGTCTCCGCCAATCAGAATTTAGACTGACGTCACTCGCGCGCATCTGTAACTTCCAGTTTTGATCAATATTGTACTCGACTACGTTCGCATCGATATCGTTTTTAACAGCCTGCGATTTCTCATTTGATTTGGCTCGATCTTTTCGTTTTGGTGTACCTTGTTTTTCAGACACGTGGTCTGTTTTGGGTGAACCTATTTTCGATAACTCCAACTGATTCGTATATTCCGGAAACTCCTTACTGGCGGAATGTTTTGGCACAAAAGAGTTCCTCCCCGTAAAGACGGTCCCTTCAACCAACTGGTTTTGTTCTTGGAAGGCGGCCATCGGGTTTTGTTGAATGGTGATGGCCGTGAAAGATTTGGCCATCGCCCTGGCCTGTGAGTGAGTGGCCAGGTGCCGGCACTCGCAGACACGGCCCAGCAGCTCGATGCCAACGAGGGCGTAGGCCCGGATGTCCGGATAAAAAAACCGCTTCCGGCTGACGCTGCTGTTGGGGGTGCCGGTCAGGAGGGTGCCGTAGATTTGGGCGTCTTCAAAGTCTCCTACTGCGGCCCGCATCACCAGACCCTGTGGGTGGAACAGATTCGTTATGAGTATATAGGTGTGTGCATGTGTGTATGTGTATGCGTATATGTATGTGTCTGTGTGTGTGTATGTGGCTGTGTGCGTCTGTGTGTGTATGTGCGTGTCTGAGTGTGTGTGTGTGCGTCTGAGTGTGTGTATGTATATGTGCGCGTGTATGTGCATGTGTGTGCACGTGTGTGCGCGTGTGTACGTGTGTGTGTGTGTGCGTCTGTGTTTTGTGTGTGCGTTTCAAAGAACATTTCACAGGACAGCGCGTCGTACGATGATTTAATTTAATGGACCACACTTTGTGCGTGGGCGTAGTGGTTAGAGAGGTGGGTGAGGGGTGGGGGCTAGGTTTGCTAACCAGGAAGTCTCGGGCTCATCTATCTATAATGGGTACACGACTTAACTCCGGAAAGCTAGTTACATTGTCGACAGTACAATTTCTTCTTATACTATACCAGGTCAGAAAAAAGAACAGATGAACTATACTTCACCCAGTTTTGAGAGTGTACTTTACTATACGTTTTCGATATGTTTTTTTCAAACATCTTTGGTTTTTAAATCGCCACAAGGGGAATAACCCCATTTTAAAAAGTTAACTTTTAAAAACGTAGTCTCCCTTTACTGTCTTTTATTTCTTCGTGTTTATTTATAATGTTGGAAGGTTTTTTTTCTCCGAAACATGTAAATAGACCCCGATTACCTGTCAACTTTTTATGCGCCATATAGGCTTGCTTTTCATTTTGGATTTGCAGTTGCTTGATTTTGGAGTCTCTCCTAGAAAAGTTGCTGTCCCCAGCTAACGAGCCTCATCTACCCGAGGGTTCAAACGCGATACTTTTCGGTTTTGCAGCCATGAGCTTTACCAACTCGACCACACCGACCCCCCCCCCACCTGGGTTCGAACTCGGGACCTTTCGGATCAACAACCGTGAGCTCAACCAATCCGACCCTCTTTTACGGTCTATTTTAAAACAATTCCAGACCTGAACGGACCCCTTGAGGTAGACGGCAGCAGACGTGAGATTCCTGTGTAGAACGTTCTGGTCGTGCAGGTACGACAAGCCCTCGGCGATGTCACGCATGATCGTCTTCTGGAACTCGTCAGGCATGGGTGAGCTCATGTTCTTCAACACGTCCTGCAGGGTCCCGCTAGAGGTCAGTTCCAGGCAAGTCAGTCTGTGGGTGAGTTGTGGAACTGGTAATTTCAGGGTTAGGTTTAGTGGAGGTTAAACTAATATGGTCAGTACTCATTTTAGTAGACTGATATGGTTAGAGTTAAGATTTGTAGAAGTTAATCAGAAATGGTCAGGATTAACTTAGGAAAATTAACTGATCAGGGTTAAGTTTAGTAGAAGTTAAATATATAATTATGGTCAAGGTTACTTTTTAGTAAACTTTAGACTGATATGATTAGGGTTAAGTTTAATAAAAGTTAAACGGGTGAGGTTTAAGTTTAGTAGACAGTGTTTCTTCCAGACTTTTTTCTCCGGGGGGGGGGGGGGGGGGCACTTGAAATTTGGGAGGGGGGGGGGCGGTAGACTTTCTTCGGGGAAGGGGGGCGGACACTGTTAAAAGTATATATTTTCTATATAAATTATATAAATTTCATTTCGTTCGGGGGGGGGGGGGGGGGTCGGTCCCCCCCGTCCCTGTCCACCCGAAGAGATGCCTGGAAGAAACTATGTTAGTAGACGATAAACTGAAATGGTCATTGTTTAGGTTTGTTGGTAGGGTTTAGCAGTGTTTCTTACAGACTTTTTTCTCTGGGGGAGGGGGGGCACTTGATATTTTCGGGGGGTGGGGGGGGGCTAACTCTGGTTAAAGTATGTTTTCTATAAAAAATTTATTTCGTTAGGGGTGTGGGGAGCGGTAGACTTTCTTGGAACAGATGCCTCGAAGAAACACTAGGGTTTAGTTTTCTTAGAAGGTAGACTGCAATGGTCGGGCTTACGTTTAGTCTCAAGTTAGCGTATGATGAAACTTAAGGACGCTAACTATCGTGAAAGGCATGGCCTCTTCTTACCTTGACCCGAAACGGTCATGACCTCTGTATAAAGGTCATGACCTTACCGCCTTAAATCATGAGAGTCACAACCTCGTTTTGACTTTACTCCCGAGGGTCATTGCATCAGTTTACTACCAACCATAAAGGGTCATGACCTCTACCTTAACCATCAAATGTTCATGCCCTCTACAATGACCCACAAAGGACAATGCCCTGTACCATGACTTACAAATGGCCATGACCTCTAATCACCTGACCCACAATGGCCTTGACCTCTACTTACCCTAACCCACAATTCACCATGACCTCTACTCACCCTAACCCACAATCACCACGACTTCTACTCACCCCAACCCACAATCACCATGACCTTTACTCACCCTAACCCACAATCACCCTAACCTCTACTCACCCTAACCTACAATGACTACGCCCTGTACTCACATCGAATCACTGGCCACAATGACCCACGCCCTGTACTCACATCGAATCACTGGCCACAATGACCCACGCCCTGCACTCACCTGGAATCACTGGCCACAATGACCCACGTCCTCTACTCACCTGGAATCACTGGCCACAATGACCCACGCCATCTACTCACCTGGAATCACTGGCCACAATGACCCACGTCCTGCACTCACCTGGAATCACTGGCCACAATGACCCACGTCCTCTACTCACCTGGAATCACTGGCCACAATGACCCACGCCATCTACTCACCTGGAATCACTGGCCACAATGACCCACGTCCTGCACTCACCTGGAATCACTGGCCACAATGACCCACGTCCCCTACTCACCTCGAATCACTGGCCACAATGACCCACGTCCTGCACTCACCTGGAATCACTGGCCACAATGACCCACGTCCTCTACTCACCTGGAATCACTGGCCACAATGACCCACGTCCTCTACTCACCTGGAATCACTGGCCACAATGACCCACGTCCCCTACTCACATCGAATCACTTTCCACAATGACCCACGCCCTCTACTCACCTGGAATCACTGGCCACAATGACCCACGTCCCCTACTCACCTCGAATCACTGGCCACAATGACCCACGTCCTCTACTCACCTCGAATCACTGGCCACAATGACCCACGTCCCCTACTCACATCGAATCACTGGCCACAATGACCCACGCCCTCTACTCACCTCGAATCACTGGCCACAATGACCCACGTCCTCTACTCACCTGGAATCACTGGCCACAATGACCCACGTCCCCTACTCACATCGAATCACTTTCCACAATGACCCACGCCCTCTACTCACCTGGAATCACTGGCCACAATGACCCACGTCCCCTACTCACCTCGAATCACTGGCCACAATGACCCACGTCCTCTACTCACCTCGAATCACTGGCCACAATGACCCACGTCCCCTACTCACATCGAATCACTGGCCACAATGACCCACGCCCTCTACTCACCTCGAAACACTGGCCACAATGACCCACGTCCTCTACTCACCTGGAATCACTGGCCACAATGACCCACGTCCTCTACTCACCTCGAATCACTGGCCACAATGACCCACGTCCTCTACTCACCTCGAATCACTGGCCACAATGACCCACGTCCTCTACTCACCTCGAATCACTGGCCACAATGACCCACGTCCTCTACTCACCTGGAATCACTGGCCACAATGACCCACGTCCTCTACTCACCTCGAATCACTGGCCACAATGACCCATGACCTGTACTCTCCTCGAATCACTGGCCACAATGACCCATGACCTCTACTCACCTGGAATCACTAGCCACAATGTTCCCGCTGATGAACGTCATGGCCTCTACCTTGACCTCTACTCACCCTAACCCACAATGACCCACGTCCTGTACTCACCTGGAATCACTGGCCACAATGTTCCCGCTGATGAACGTCATGGCCTCTACCTTGACCTCTACTCACCCTAACCCACAATGACCCACGCCCTGTACTCACCTGGAATCACTGGCCACAATGACCCACGTCCTCTACTCACCTCGAATCACTGGCCACAATGTTCCCGCTGATGAGCGTCATGACCTCTACCTTGACCTCTACTCACCTGGAATCACTGGCCACAATTTTGCCGCTGATGAGCGTCATGGCCTGTACTCACCTCGAATCACTGGCCACAATGACCCACGCCCTGTACTCACCTCGAATCACTGGCCAAAATGTTGCCGCTGATGAGCGTCATGACCTCTACCTTGACCTCTACTCACCTCGAATCACTGGCCACAATGTTGCCGCTGATGAGCGTCATGGCCTGTACTCACCTCGAATCACTGGCCACAATGACCCACGCCCTGTACTCACCTGGAATCACTGGCCACAATGTTGCCGCTGATGAGCGTCATGACCTCTACCTTGACCTCTACTCACCTCGAATCACTGGCCACAATGTTCCCGCTGATGAGCGTCATGACCTCTACCTTGACCTCTACTCACCCTAACCCACAACCTAACCACGACCTCTACTCACCTGGAATCACTGGCCACAATGTTGCCGCTGATGAGCGTCATGACCTCTACCTTGACCTCTACTCACCTCGAATCACTGGCCACAATGTTCCCGCTGATGAGCGTCATGACCTCTACCTTGACCTCTACTCACCCTAACCCACAATGACCCACGCCCTCTACTCACCTGGAATCACTGGCCACAATGTTCCCGCTGATGAGCGTCATGGCCTCTACCTTGACCTCTACCTTGACCTCTACTCACCTGGAATCACTAGCGACAATGTTGCCGCTGATGAGCGTCATGGCCTCTACCTTGACCTGTACTCACCTGGAATCACTGGTCACAATGTTGCCGCTGATGAGCGTCATGGCCTCGAAGTACGGGTTCGAGTTGCTGGTCCACAGACACTGCAGCACGCTGGCGCTGTGGGACTTCCTCAGGAGACCCAGCACCACGATCTCCTGGGCCCAGGCTTTGATGTGCTCCGGCCCGTAGACTTTGAGCAGACCCTGCTTCCATACCCCCTTACCGGCCGCCCAGCTGGCTTTAAGGCGGAGCTTACCGGGGCCCTGGAGGAAGGGTGGGGGGGGGATAGTTATGATGAATTGGGTAATGATGATGGTTTCGTTGTGTATTGTTAAGGGGGGGGGGGGGGTGGCAGGCTGTGTGTTGGGTTTATGATGGTATAGGGTAGGCTATGGGTGGGGTTCGTTATAGATTATAGGAGAGGGTAGCTTATGAGGGATTCCTTACAGAGGCGTAGCGACCCTTCCCGGCGACAAACTTTTCGATTTGCACCCCCCACTCAAGATTTCGATTTGCACCCCTCCCACTCAAACTTTCGATTTGTACACCCCTCAACGTTTCAACTTATTCTTCCAACCCACTTTGGCGCCCCCTAAGGTCAGACCCGGGGACATGTAACCCCCCCCCCCCCCCCGCTACGCTACTGATTCATAATAAGACAGGGTAGGCATTAGGTGGGGTTCATTATAGATTATAGGACAGGATAGCTTATGAGGGGTTCATTATAAGACAGGGTAGGCTATGGCTGGGGTTCATTATAGATTATAGGACAGGATAGCTTATGAGGGGTTCATTATAAGACAGGGTAGGCTATGGCTGGGGTTCATTATAGATTATAGGACAGGATAGCTTATGAGGGGTTCATTATAAGACAGGGTAGGCTATGGCTGGGGTTCATTATAGATTATAGGACAGGATAGCTTATGAGGGGTTCATTATAAGACAGGGTAGGCTATGGCTGGGGTTCATTATAGATTATAGGACAGGATAGCTTATGAGGGGTTCATTATAAGACAGGGTAGGCTATGGCTGGGGTTCATTATAGATAATAGGACATGATATGAGGGGTTCGTTATAGCACAAGGCAGGCTATGTCTTGGGTTCAATATAAGATAGGGTATGTAACTGTTGATTTAACTCTGTATGCGTATTTTGGTATTTGGTATGACATATGATGACATTTGATGTGACATTGGAAGTGACATTTGATGAAACAATAGATCGGAAATTCAGTGTCAAGTGAATATCCCCTCTCCCCCCCATCCCCTTATGATACCCTATACAGGTATATGACATTACATTCGGCGACCAAACATTCGAACGGGTGTGTTACACTCTCCTGAAGCTCCAATCACCAAAATCAATCAGTATGGCTGTATCAGATCAATACAGCGAGATGCTGTATTGATTTCTAATTTTCTTGAAGGTTATCGGTGACGTCATTTATCATTTATCGATTACTGTCGGGGTATCGAACCGTCAAATTCAACTCTCCCATACTGCAAGCTTATATAATAACTGTTCTGCCCTTATCATCCCCCTTTCACAACCCCACCCCCCCCCCACAAAACAAACATACAACAAAAAAATAACAAAAAAACAACAACAAACAAACAAACAAATATGCCACATACAATAGCGGACTTAATTCCCCCACCAATAATCAGATGACACCTCTCATCCGGAATCAGACACTACCACCAGACGCCCCCACTACCATCAGACGCCCCCACTACCACCAGACGCCCCCACTACCACCAGACGCCCCCACTACCACCAGACGCCCCCACTACCATCAGACGCCCCCACTACCATCAGACGCCCCCACTACCATCAGACGCCCCCACTACCACCAGACGCCCCCACTACCACCAGACGCCCCCACTACCACCAGACGCCCCCACTACCACCAGACGCCCCCACTACCACCAGACGCCCCCACTACCATCAGACGCCCCCACTACCATCAGACGCCCCCACTACCATCAGACGCCCCTACTACCATCAGACGCCCCCACTACCATCAGACGCCCCTACTACCATCAGACGCCCCCACTACCATCAGACGCCCCTACTACCATCAGACGCCCCCACTACCATCAGACGCCCCTACTACCATCAGACGCCCCCACTACCATCAGACGCCCCCACTACCATCAGACGCCCCTACTACCACCAGACGCCCCCACTACCATCAGACGCCCCCACTACCACCAGACGCCCCCACTACCACCAGACGCCCCCACTACCATCAGACGCCCCTACTACCATCAGACGCCCCCACTACCACCAGACGCCCCCACTACCACCAGACGCCCCCACTACCACCAGACGCCCCCACTACCATCAGACGCCCCCACTACCACCAGACGCCCCCACTACCACCAGATGTCCCCACTACCATCATACGACCCTCTTCCATACCAAAACACGACTCCCCCACCCACACCACCCTGCGACACCCACCTCCCCCCTCATCTCGGCTGTTTTAGCCGGTGGTGCGGCTCTTCTTGTGCTCCGTCAGTCTGCCCACACCCCACACCGCAGAGGACGCCCCCAAACTCAGACAACCCCCACCATTATACGACCCCTACCTTCAGAACCCCACCACCAGACAAACCCCATCACCAGACGACCCTCACCCCACCCCTAGACAACCCCCACCCCCGTCCCGCCTCATCTCTGTCCAAATGAGTTCCAGCTGCTTAAGCCGGTGATGCGGCTCCTTCTTCTGCTCCGTCAAACCAACTACCCCCCAGACGACCCCATCATACGACCCCCCACCACCAGACGACCCCCACCCCCAACTCCGTCCCCCCTCACCTCAGTCTTGATGAGCTCCAGCTGTTTGAGCCGGTGATGCGGCTCCTTCTTCTGCTCCGTCAGACCAACTACCCCCCCCCCCCCCCCACCAGACGACCCCATCATACGACCCCCCCACCACCAGACGACCCCTCCCCCCTCACCTCAGTCTTAATAAGCTCCAGCTGTTTAAGCCGGTGATGCGGCTCCTTCTTCTGCTCCGTCAGACCACCTACTCCCCCCCCCCCAGACGACCCCATCATACGACCCCCACCACCAGACGACCCCCCCCCTCCCCTCACCTCAGTCTTAATGAGCTCCAGCTGCTTAAGCCGGTGATGCGGCTCCTTCTTCTGCTCCGTCCGGTCACAGCACAGCCCGCTCCAGCTGGACAGCTGCACGGTCGCCATGGCAACGTGGACCAGCACCAGGCCGGCCAGGGACAGCAGCGCCACCCACTGGGGCGCGGGGGCGAACTCCCTGTTGCTGTAGACCACCACGGTGACGACGAACATCAGCACCACCGCCAGGACAATCTCCACCAGCGTGAACTTGTGGTAGCTCCGGCCCTGCTCCATCTGAGGGGCGAAAGGTCAAAGTTCAAGGGGGTTATTTTCAGTGTTAGGAAAGGTCAAAGTTCAAGGGGGTTATTTTCAGCGTTAGGAAAGGTCGAAGTTTAAACGTGGAAGTTTGAAAAGTTTTACATAAAATTATATTTTCTCAACATACTTTACAACTTATAGGCTACATTAATTATTTGATAATATTACATGGCTCGTAAATGTTCTTTACGACAGGAACGCATAATTTTAAAAAATAATTCCAGTAACTACAAAAGTGCCTACACGTTTTTTTTTTTGGTGATTTTTTAAAAAATATTTAAAAACGCACCACTATTTACAAAAGTAAAAAGAAAAAGCTTGGGTTCTTATATATGCCTACGAAAATTGTTGTTCGCCCCCCCGAAAATTTCAAGTGCACCCCCGGAGAAAAAAGTCTGGAAGAAACACTGCTCCGGGGGGGGGGGGGCGACTAAAATTTCCTTTTGGTCGGACCCTGTTAAAAGTTTATATTTTCTATATAAATTCCAATTACAGAGATGCCTGGAAGAAACACTGTATACAAGGGTAAACTCTATACGTAATTTTTACAAAATGGCTGCGCCACAAGTTCAAAACTGCTGAGCGGCCGCGCAACCACTCAGCTTAGAGAGAACATTCCTGCAGCCAGTCGAACGAACGAGGAAGCGCCAGTAGCAGACGATGAGTCTGCGGAGGCCTTACCTTCTGCATCTGCCAGAGGCTGGGGGATGAGGCGTGCACCCTGGTGCCGGGCCCCGCCCAGAACTTCACGGCGACGACCACGCCCAGCGTGACTGCGATGGCCAGGATTCCCCACAGGATGAAAAACAAAATGGCGCCGAATGTTGACCCCTTGCCGCCTTCCTGTTGGATAGCAAAGGAATATTTGATTACGTTTGTTATTGAGTAACCGTAGGGTTAAACAAACATGATTTATTCATTATAAATAAATAAACAAAATTAAATAAAACTTCGGGTGAAGGGGGGGGGGGGTCAAAAATTACCCAGAAGGGTGTTGGGGCAACACTGGTAAAGAAGTGCTACTTAACAGAGGTTCGATCAGTGGCGGAACTAGAAAAAAGGGCCACCCCGCAATAAAAATTTTTGGGCCTCATATATATATATATATATATATATATATATATATATATATATATATATATATATATATATATATATATATATATATATATATATATATATATATATATATATATATATATATATATATATATATATATATATATATATATATATATATATATATATATATATATATATATATATATATATATATATATATATATATAAACTAAATACGAAAATATCAACATGGAGTACTCAATTTGGGCTTGTTCGAAATTTGACAAAATTAAAATTCTTAGTATTTAATTTTTATTTAAAACATATTACAACAACACATCATTTGTGTCAGTGCTACTAGTCTGTTTTGAAATTCTCTATTTTAATGTCTAACATAGTGCTTTATAATTACGAGGCGGTCAAAAGAATATGAAGCATGAAAGCTTTTTATGTGTAATGGTTTCTCGTCTTATGTTTATTTTTAAGTATTTTTGTATTTATATTATTAGTTTTTAATACATTTCCTTTTATACTATGTCATTCTTCATTATTTTTCTTTTTAAATGATAATTAATGATAATTAAGAGAAGTAATTGCTTTTTAATTTTTTTAGTGCAAAAAAAAAAGTTTCTTAATTGAGAGCACACATATTTCACTATTTAAAAAAGGGAAATAAGTCATGGAAGTTGTTTGAACGTTTGCCTATCTTACACACTACAACTCATGTAGCTGCATATATTTTTCCTTTATGAAACAGTGTGTGTTAGCTACTGTAGAACATCACTACTGTAGTAGATCTGTTTTTTTGTTGTTGTAAAAAACAATTTTTTTAACTATACAAAGTTGATTCTGGTCGGCTATGGGCCCCTAAATGGCCTGGGCCCCCCCGCATTGCGGGGTCTGGCGGCACTGTAGTTCCGCCCCTGGGTTCGATCGAACCCTAGGGGTTTGGAGAGTCAAAATTAGGGGTTTGGCGGGGGCAGTGCCGGCGCCAGGTTATGTAGCGCCCTAGGCAAAACTTATTAAAACGCCCCCTTTCACACAGATTAATTACTAAAACATATCCTATAAGAAAACAATTCATTAAAAGTGACATATTAATTTATTATCAATTGCATACACGTTGTAAGTAGACATCAAAATCAAATTTTACTTGCTTCCTTCGTCTTAAAAGTTTGTAGTCATTTCTTCAATTCCAGTTTGCAATCGTAATCATGTTTTATTGAAATTTTAGCGAAGTCCACGAGCCTACTTTGTACTTTACGACAAAGCCCCCCTCCCCCCTCCCCTAAAAAAATTTTTAAGAGCCCCCCCCCCCTCCCTGGGGGTAAACAGTCTGGAAAAAAACCCACTAAAAAAAGTTCTTGTAGTGTTGGACTAACTGCAGTCCTTCCAAGGTGAGTTCCAAAACGGAACTTACCTGTTTTAAGCTTGACTGTCTTTAGTTATAATTGTAAAATTTCTATATTGTGTGATTATGTAATTATTATTTTTTTTTTAAAAATAAAAGGTTATAAAAGTTATAGATTCCAGCCTAAAATTGTTATATATGAATCCTTTAGGAGAGGGTGAAAAATATGAAAAGACAATTAATTAGATGTTTAATTTACGACTAAGGCTTGTATGTCTACTAACTTAAGCTCTATATAATTTTTACAGTAGCAAATAATAACTTAAAGTTGTATTTATATGTAAGCGGTCAACCTAAGGTCAGGAATTGGAAATGAATGAATAGTTAAGCAACGAATTATCTCCCATTCGAACATCCAATAACAAAATTTTATTCAAGGGAAATAACTTTCACAACAATTGCTAAATTAACCAAGTATAACTAAGACATGTTTAAAAAACACAATAAAGCGATCTAAATGTCATTACGTAATAATTACAACAAATCTTTTATATTAACTATGTAACATTGTAAAAATAATATATTTTACCTATTGATTACTTAAATGTAGGTTATTTTTGAAAATCTAAAAGTGGTAGGTTTATTACAACATACTTTTGTTTAATTTTGATGACATACTTTGGATTGTAGTTTGAACACAACACTTATGAATATTTTAACATAATACTTCTGTATATAGATCTAGAAAAAAAAATAAGAAAATCTGTAGGCCTATATAAAATTTTGGATCGCCTAATTTAAGGGATGTCTTTCAAAAAATCAACAACGTGAACTGTTTTAGACATTGCTACTGATTAAAAATATAAAAAAAAATTTGAAAAAACAAAGTTTACGATTAGTTATAAATTCCATCCTATTTAATATATATTAATACTTTAAGAGTGGTAATATAGATTCCTAAAAAACTAAAGATTTTTCAACTAGAGAACGCCTACCTTTCTTTGTAGTATGTTCCGTACTGAATTGAAATCATTTAACTTACGATAAAGTTGACTACCCGATATACTCTACTACATTCACAACACATATCAAACTTCGATACCCAAACATAACATGCTCCAGAACTACGACACCAACTCGTTTAACTTCACCAAGCTCTACAAACGGTAGTCCCAATCAGTGGCGGAACTAGAAAAATAGGGCCACCCCGCAAAACATTCTTTTGGGCCCCCATATATCAGAGGCGTAGCGACCCTTCCCGGCGACCGGGGACAAATATTCGATTTGCACCCCCCCCTTCAAACTTTCGATTTGCACCCCACCTCAAACTTTCGATTTGCACCCCCCCCCCCTCAAACTTTCGATTTGCACCCCCCCCCCCTCAAACTTTCGATTTGCAACCCCCCCCCCCCTCAAACTTTCGATTTGCACCCCCCCTCAAACTTTCGATTTGCACCCCCCTCAAACTTTCGATTTGCACCCCCTCGCTACACCTCTACCATATATATAAGTTAAGATCGGTCGGCTGTGGGCCCCTAAACTGCCCCTGCCCCCCCCCCCCCCCCCCCCCGCATTGCGGGGTCTGGCGGCACTGTAGTTACGCCCCTGGTCCCAATCAACAACGATTTCACTGGACCTACTACTACACTTAAACAGTCAATATTATTCGATACCTTAATACCACAAGAATCAAAACTCCCGAACTCCAGAACTACGATACTTTATCACCTGCATTCTCATTTCTCTACTACCAATCAGATTCCACTAGACCTTCAACTACACAACAGCCAAATAAAAAATACGGCACTTTAATACTTAGATACTTTACGAATCCTATCAGCAACAGCCTTCCGCCGTTACTCCCAAATCTAAACGAGTCATCAAAACTAATCAAACAAGTACAATAATTTGAACACCCCGTCATTACAAAACTCTATACAACAGGACAGATTTCTAATTCAAAGTAAGAGAAAACGAGACTTACAAGCCCTATTAAAATGTTTGAAATTTAAATTACGAACTTATTTAATCACCTGTATGATAGGAACACTTGCACGAGTCTACTCACCTGATAGAAACACCTGCACGAGTCTACTCACCTGTTTGATAGGAACACCTGCACGAGTCTACTCACCTGTCTGATAAGAACACCTGCACGAGTCTACTCACCTGTTTGATAGGAACACCTGCACGAGTCTACTCACCTGTCTGATAGAAACACCTGCACGAGTCTACTCACCTGTCTGATAGGAACACCTGCACGAGTCTACTCACCTGTCTGATAGGAACACCTGCACGAGTCTACTCACCTGATAGGAACACCTGCACGAGTCTACTCACCTGATAGGAACACCTGCACGAGTCTACTCACCTGTCTGATAGAAACACCTGCACGAGTCTACTCACCTGTCTGATAGGAACACCTGCACGAGTCTACTCACCTGTCTGATAGGAACACCTGCACGAGTCTACTCACCTGTCTGATAGGAACACCTGCACGAGTCTACTCACCTGATAGGAACACCTGCACGAGTCTACTCACCTGTCTGATAGAAACACCTGCACGAGTCTACTCACCTGTCTGATAGGAACACCTGCACGAGTCTACTCACCTGTCTGATAGGAACACCTGCACGAGTCTACTCACCTGATAGGAACACCTGCACGAGTCTACTCACCTGATAGGAACACCTGCACGAGTCTACTCACCTGATAGGAACACCTGCACGAGTCTACTCACCTGATAGGAACACCTGCACGAGTCTACTCACCTGATAGGAACACCTGCACGAGTCTACTCACCTGATAGGAACACCTGCACGAGTCTACTCACCTGATAGGGACACCTGCACGAGTCTACTCACCTGATAGGAACACCTGCACGAGTCTACTCACCTGATAGGAACACCTGCACGAGTCTACTCACCTGATAGGAACACCTGCACGAGTCTACTCACCTGTCTGATAGAAACACCTGCACGAGTCTACTCACCTGATAGGGACACCTGCACGAGTCTACTCACCTGTCTGATAGGAACACCTGCACGAGTCTACTCACCTGATAGGAACACCTGCACGAGTCTACTCGCCTGTCTGATAGGAACACCTGCACGAGCCTACTCACCTGTCTGATAGGAACACCTGCACGAGTCTACTCACCTGATAGGAACACCTGCACGAGTCTACTCACCTGATAGGAACACCTGCACGAGTCTACTCACCTGATAGGAACACCTGCACGAGTCTACTCACCTGATAGGAACACCTGCACGAGTCTACTCACCTGATAGGAACACCTGCACGAGTCTACTCACCTGATAGGAACACCTGCACGAGCCTACTCACCTGTCTGATAGGAACACCTGCACGAGTCTACTCACCTGATAGGAACACCTGCACGAGTCTACTCACCTGATAGGAACACCTGCACGAGTCTACTCACCTGATAGGAACACCTGCTCGAGTCTACTCAACTGTCTGATAGGAACACCTGCACGAGCCTACTCACCTGTCTGATAGGAACACCTGCACGAGTCTACTCACCTGATAGGAACACCTGCACGATCTACTCACCTGATAGGAACACCTGCACGAGTCTACTCACCTGTGTGATAGGAACACCTGCACGAGTCTACTCGCCTGTCTGATAGGAACACCTGCTCGAGTCTACTCACCTGATAGGAACACCTGCACGATCTACTCACCTGATAGGAACACCTGCACAAGTCTACTCACCTGATAGGGACACCTGCACGAGTCTACTCACCTGTCTGATAGGAACACCTGCACGAGCCTACTCACCTGTCTGATAGGAACACCTGCACGAGTCTACTCACCTGATAGGAACACCTGCACGATCTACTCACCTGATAGGAACACCTGCACGAGTCTACTCACCTGATAGGAACACCTGCACGAGTCTACTGACCTGTCTGATAGGAAAGCATGCGAGAGGGTAGGGCGTGGTCTGGTCGAAGTAGTCGATAGGTGAGACCGGAAGTACTGCCAGCATCAGGGTCACCAGCTTCTGGGGTAGAACAATGGCCAGGAACACCTTCCATCTACACAGGGGGTGAGGTAATGGTGGGGTGGTCAATAGTGGCATAATTGGTTGTAGGTAGAGGTATAATTGGTTGTAGTTAGAAGCATAGTTGGTTGTAGTTAAAGGCATAATTGGTTGTAGTTAGAGGCATAATTGGTTGTAGGTAGAGGCATAATTGGTTGTAATTAGAGGCATATAATAATTAATTGTAATTCCTGGCATAATCGGTTGTAATTAGAGACATAATTGGTTTTAATTAGAGGTTTGATTGTACTAAAGCTGGCTGTATATAGAGGCATGGATTTAAAACATTGTGGTTGATAAAAAATACAAAACAGTGTAGTTACTAAATAAATACATCGCAGTATAGATTGTAAATAACAGTATCATCGATATAAAAAAAATTGTATAACTGGTAATCAGAGGTCTATCAGTATTGTTGATAAATACTTGCATTAAACCTGTTTCAAGGTAGGTCTTAGATTACAGTTAATGACACTGTAAAAAAATGTTTAAATTGAAATATTTAAAATGTTTTTTTTTTCTACGAAGTTGAAAGAAACCCATGTAGGTCTTTTCAAAACAATAGGGCTGGTAAGTAGGTCACCAACCAGTTGTATGGCTCATGCAGGTTTTATTGAGCCGTAGAATTGGTAAGTGACCTACTTACCAGCCCTATTAGGGCGAGAATTGTTTAACTCACCTGAACGTGGACAGGTGCGACATCTTTGATGGGTTTTGTATGAGCAGGAATGTAATGCCAGTCAAGGTCAGACACGACACAAGGTCAATCAGGCCGAACAATGTGAAGAAGCCTTAAATTAAAACAAAAATGTAAACTGTTTTAACCTTACATTGTGAACAACCCTTGCATGAAATTTTAATATTGAAAAAAGTAATATGCAACGTTAAAATGTATACGTTTTATATTTAACAATATAAAGAACCCTAAAATGAAATTTACAAGAGAAAAAATGAAACTTTTTATCCATCCTCTCTTTGCTATGGTAACTGGTAGGACAGCGTGGCTTAGCAGTAGAGCGCTAGACTGCTAACATGCAAATCTCGAGTTTGAATCCATGGGGCAAGGGAAGTAGAGTTCACCTGTTTCTGTGACCTCGGCTTATGAAGAGATAGTGTGGTCAGCACTATGCCCAGCCGCCATTACTTTTCCTAACGTAAGTCCCAACAGAGCTTGTGGTCACGTTCATAAATAAAGAGACTTTTGTTATACATTATACAGCAAGGAGAACTATGTTTTGGCTGTAGTTAGGGTAAAGTCAGGACTGACAAGCAAGCTTAACTAAAGAGTACCCGCGTGGTACCATCTAACGGAAATGAGGGCCACATACTCACCCGCAGCCTGGCAGGTTTGGATGCTTGCGCCACCCACGTGACAGGAAGTCAGCAGCAGACCGAGGGCGAGCGAGAGCGCCGCCAGATCGAGGCAGAGCAGGCAGCACTTCCAGGCGGTGGGGATGATGTACCGGAACACGGCCTTCGTCGCCAGGCTCGACACGCAGCCAATCAGCGCCAGGGAGGCGGCCACGGTCAAGGTCACGTTCAGCGCCGGGTCGCTGTCGGACGAGAGTCGCGGAAGGCTGGAGACGTTGGCGGTGGTCATGGTGTCATGGTGGTCGACGGGGAGATGGTGTCAGACGGTGTGGAAGCTATGCAGTTCGATGTCGATGTTGCTGAACGGTTATCTTTGATTGAAATCCGGCGGAAGTTTTTGGAAGACCACTTCATTGCAGTTTAAAACTTTTTTTTTTCCCCAAGGAAGAGTTGATACTATTTAAAAGTTCATTCTTTTTTACGAACATTTGTTGGCACTTTAAAACTTCAACTTTTTATACAATAGTCAATCGCATTTTAAAACATTTTTCGCTTTTGTACAATACTGCTTTCACGGAAAGTAGAATATATAAGATTTTAAAACTCCAGCTATTGTAAAAAATTCAATTTTTTATATTAATAGTACATCGAAAAAACGTGTTTTTTTACGGAACAATGGAAATCTAAATTCGATTTTAAAAATTAAATTTATTTCATTGGGGTAATTTTTTGCATAATTAAAACTTTAAACTTTAACAATCGCAGTTTGTAGAGCAGTTCATCACAGTTTAAAACTGAGTTTTTTCTCTCTCACGAACAGTGTATACAATTTTAAAACTTTATTCGTCTATAAGGGACAGCTCTTGTTAGTTTAAAACTTCAACTTTCTATGTTACAGTTTACAGCAGTTTAAAACTGAGTCTTTTTTCTTCCACGAACAAAATATACAATTTTAAAATTTATTCGTCTATGAGGGACAACTCCAATCAGTTTCAAATTTTAACTTTCTATGTAACAGTTTACTACAGTTTAAAATTCCATATTGTATTCTATGTGATGTTAATTTTATTCTCCAGTAGGTAGCTCTTGCGAAATTTGTGAGAGTATTTTGAGTAGTATGCCATCACAGAAATCGATAGGTTTCATTGAAGAGGACAAGCATCTGGTTAGTTTTTTGTTTACGATCAAATTGACCAATAGTTTGATGAATTTTTGATGATGTTTGATCAGCCCCAGAACGATGTTTGATAATTTTCTGATCTTTTAAAATGAGACGATACCCTGGGATAAAAAGAAAAAAAATTTAGAAAGGTACATTTCAGTTGTGTTAGGGTTTGGGTAAGGGTAACGTCAATTGTAGTTTGATAAAATTGATACAAAAAAAAATATTTTCATAGACTACACTACACTGTCGGTAGCGCGAGTGCAGTAGAGTTCACCTGTTTCTTAGACTTCCGCATAAGACGCAATTACTAGGCGGTCAGTATTTCCCAACTGGTGCCAGGTACTCATTAGAGCCAAGTCCACTCTGTTCGTTAGCCAGCGTGCTATTCACCAGAAAATGCTAAGGTGTGTGTCAGGCGTTCAGAACAGTGTGTGACACTGAAGTTAAAAGCTAGAAAAACTCTGCTTCATGTTTCTTCCTGTTGTCTTAACTGATTGTGTGCTGTATCACGTGATCTGTATTGTAAAAAAAAGTAAAGTTCACTTCCAAACCTGAAGGTCTATGGGGCAAGAGAAGTAGAGTTCACCTGTTTCTGTGACCTCGGCATATGAAGAGATAGTGAGGTCAGCACTATGCCCAGCCGTCTATACTTTCCCTAACGTCAGTTAGGTACCCATCAGAGTTGGGTGGACTCAGGGATGGTCTACTGACTTAAACCCGGATTCGAACTCTAGACTTACGGGATAGCAGTCTAGCTCTCTACCGCAAGGTCGCGACGTCCCATGATCCGCAACTTTCAACCACCCACACACATTGTTCCCTCTAAACCAGTGGTTCTTAACCTGGGTTCGATGGAACCCAAGGGGTACTTCTTCTTTCTTCTTCTTCGTTCTTAATTATTAGTGTTGAAGGGGATCGAGATTTATCTGCCAGTGGGTTTGAACTCGAGACTTTGTTCTAATTTATCAACCATGAGCTTTTTGCCGACTCGACCACGCCTCCAACACAATTAAGCGTTACGTGTCAACTGGTTATGCGCTATTGAGGCCATTGACTCCGATTTCAGCCTGCTTTTCTTTTTGGATTTGCTTCCATAGCCTTTGTCCAACCAAGAACAAGCTACAAGGCAGAAGTTGTTTGATTTTGGAGTTGTCTCTCCTAGAAGAGTGGCTGTCCCCAGCTAACGAGCCTCATCTGCCCGAGGGTTCGAACTCGAGACTTTTCGGTTTAGCAACCATTACCGACTCGACCACGCCGACCCCAAGGGGTACGGTGTGTCAGTCTCAGGAGGGGGGTTCGGCGGAGGTCAAGACTTTTTTCTCTGTGGGGGGGGGGGGCGCACTTAAAATTTTCGGGATGGCGGACTAAAATCTCCGGGAGGGGGGGGGGGACGGACACTGGTAAAAGTATATATTTTCTGTATGAATTCCATTTCGTTCGGGGTGGGGGTGAGGGGTGGATGGGGGAGGGGGTGGAGAGAGAGGGGGCAGAGCCCACCAAAAGAGATGCCCGGAAGAAACACTGACGCGGTTCATTTTAATTCACGATCGGACTGTCAGTGCAGAAAAAAGAACTATTAAGAAGGGTTCGTTGACAGTGTTTCTTCCAGACTTTTTTCTCCGGGGGGGGGGGGGGCACTTGAAATCTTCGGGGGGGGGGGGCGGTAAGGGTTAGGGTTAGGGTTAGGGTTAGGGTTAGGGTTAGGGTTAGGGGGCGGACACTGTTAAAAGTATATATTTTCTATATAAATTATATAAATTTCATTTCGTTCGGGGGGGCGGTAAAATTTTTTCGGGGGGGCTTCTCCCCCCCGAAGAGATGCCTGGAAGAAACTCTGTTCGTTGAATACGCATATAAAACTGGTGGGGTTCGGTACCTCGAAAGGTTAAGAACCACTGCTCTAAGTAGGAAGAAGCCGAGAGTCTGAAAGAATTCAGTTTGTGACATATGACATGTTATGTGTCATCAGAACTGTGTAGTCTAGAAGGCCTTTTATCGTATGTCATGTAATATGCATTTGTATGGGTTCATAGGACGTGTAATGTGTAATACGGTGGGCTCTATGTCACGTGACACGTATTGGGTCATGTGACACGTATTGGGTCATGTTACTCGATGTGATCGCTAATCGATGCCATTGATTGATCAGCGTGGACAACATGGGGCAGCACTACTGTGTTGACGATAACAAGACGTGTGATTGTAATACATGACAATCCCAAGACAATCATAAGACGTGTGATTGTAGGGTATGACTATCACAAGACGTGTGATTGTAAGGCATGACAATTACATGACCTGCGATTGTAATACATGACAATCCCAAGACAATCACCTACATGGTATGACAATCACAATACGTGTGATTGTAAGGTATGACAATTACAGTACGTGTGATTGTAGGGTATGACAATCACAATACGTATGATTGTAGAGAATGACAATCATCGACAAAAGAGAAGGGACCTTTCTGTGGCGGCCCCATTTGTCTTGGGCACAAAAAGGAAAAGATGATGATTTACCAGGAGCCCTAATTTTGGAGGCAAATATACTGTTTGTTCTTTTTTCTTTTAAAAAGTGTGCTTTAACAAATTATAACTAAACAACCTATAAAGAAAAGACCTTATTAACATTTTAGCAAAGATTCCGAAGAACAATTCAGAAAAGGCCCTAAGAAATTTTCGTTTTTCCACATTGTGAGTGAGAGTTTACACATGCGAATTTTGTGTGAGAGTTTACACATATGAGTTTTGTTTGAAAGTTTACACATGTGAATTGTGTGTAAGAATTTACATGTGAATTGTGCGTGTTCACACAAGTCAAATATTTCAGCTGATTTCCATGAGGTACGCTACCAACCAGCGACTATAAAGACTGCCCCTGTATATACAGAATATATATAGAATTTTATACCTAAGCAATCTATCACATTATTAAATAATTATAAATTTACACCATCATCAGCAAAGTAATGGCTTCCTAAAAATTATTTTTAAAAAATGAACCCCATTAATGAATTTCTCGACACGAGATTTACCCGATTTATTATAAGCTCTTTAATTTATCACGACATGGTGTAAGCTATACTGATTATTCTTTTTATAACCTTGCTTATCTCCCATGGAAAATACAGCCCTTTAAGTAGGGGATAGGCAGTTAAAGTACAATCAGTGTCAACCTTTCTATATTGAAGTCTGCTATCAAATCTGAAGACACATTATTAAAAAAAAAAAAGTAAACTAAGCTTGCAACGAATTCAAGCAAAACAAACTACAACAACACAATTTACTCTAATGTCAAACTTTCAGTTTTTCAAACATTTTTTTTCCGGGAGGGGATGGGGCAGGAGGAGGGGAAAGGACACTTGAATGTTTTTTGGGGGGTGGGGGTGGAGGGGATAGTCACTGGTAAAAGTATATATTTCTTATATAAATTGTATTTCTATCGGTTTGTGTGTGTGTGTGTGTGGGGGGGGGGGGGTATACGCGAAAAGCGTCGGAAAGAAGGGGGGGGGGGGGAGGTGGGGTGTTATAAGCTGCTCGACGACTGCTAACCCGAAAGTCGCGAGTTCGAATCTCGGCTGTAGGATGTCTCTGAGTCCATCCAGCTCTGGCGGGTACCTGTCACACGTCAGGGAAAGTAAAGGCGGCTGGGGATAGGGCTCTCAACATCCTCCCTCAATATCCCGAGGTCAAGAAACATCTGAACTCTACTATGTGAACTCTACTATGCGGACACTGGTAAAGTATATATTTTCTATATAAATTTCCATTTCGTTCATGAGGTGGGGGGGGGGGGGGGGGGGGCCCGGTAGACTTTCTTCGGGTGGGGGTGGGGGGCAGAGCACCCTTGAAGAGATGCCTGGAAGAAACACTGGGCCTTTGCTCCACAAGAAACGAAAAAAAAAAATGATCATGATGAATGCGATTGGCGACCTTATCCATAAGGTACGGCTACGCTATGAAATACAAGTAAATGTGTTGTTTAATTACCTTAAGAATAGATTACTTTCCTGTAATATAGCCGAAAGATTTTTAACATTCACCAACAGTGATATAGGATTTTGTATGTGAACACCACGTTCCTGTTGTGTACAAGTAATTCACATAATGATCACATACTTAACCCGCATGTTTCTATATAATCCAACACAAGGAAATCACAAAAGAAAACAAATGCCTAAAA